CCTTTTGACACCCCTTGTTGAAGCAGGCCCACCATGGGTTGATCAATCCTGGGCGTGTGTCTCGCGGTTAGCTGACTGCCTTAGCTGCCCAAGTGATGTCAGCCCTTTTTAGCCATAGCCAGTGACTGGTCCTCTCAGCAGTGTTAGCTAATTCTCTTATAGCCTGCCATTGTGCCTGTCCTCTGATCCCAATCTCTCTAAGTAGTTTTGCTGTTGTACTGGCAACAAAGCCCCTGCACCCCACTTCCACTGGGCGCACCTTGATCTTCCAGCCTCTGTTCTCTGCCTCAGCTGCCAAGTTGGCATACCGCAGCTTCTTACGCTCAAATGCTTCCTCAATTGCTTTCTCAATTGCTTCCTCCCATGGTATTGTCAGCTCAATGACGTATGCAAGTTTTTGGGAGTTAGACCAAAGGACGAGGTCTGGTCGCAGAGTAGTTGTTATGATCTCTGAGGGAAAAATTAGCCTCTGATCCAAGTCCACTTGCATCTGCCAATCCCTGTTCGACCTTCAGCGGGCCCAGGTCCGGGGTTGAGGGGCTTGTCCTCGGCTTGTCTCCCTCCCGGACAAATGCTGATGAATACTGACGCTCCTCTTGGTTCTTGAAAGGTTGAGCATTGATGGATTTTCTCTTGCAATCAACTTTCTCGGCTAGACACCTGGTTGTGTCTCCATGTGTATCTGCCTTGAGTAAGGCTAGTCCTACAGCCAACCAAGATGTGCTTGAGTGTGGCTGTACACAGGGGGAAGGCTGGGTCCTTTCCAAGCCACAGCTGCAGATTTATTGGGGAAGGTAGCACATCGTATGTCACTCGGTTGATGAAACTTAGTCTATTAGACTCCATCTCCAGATTTCACTCCATGTAAGTTTCCTCCTTTCAACACTGTTCCAATTCATCCAGCAACCCTGCTTGGCCAGCGCTCTGGCATGTCTGGCTGTTTCCTCCTGTCAACACACCTCCTTCACCATCATTTTTTGACGTTCGGTTACAGATGCCTGTTGCCACCAAACAAATCCTCCTCTGTCCTGCGGACGTGACCCACCACTTCCTCCCAATTGCTCGGGTGGGAGCAGTGCCTCTCACTATGGGGTCCCGGGAGTCCGTGAGTGACATCTCAAACCTCACTTTTGCACATTTAAACTCCTCTACTAGACAAGGGAGAGGCAATGACAGTATCCCATCGCTATAGAGTGCAACGCTGCTGAGGCATTTGGGAAGTCCGAGCCACTTTTTAACGTAGGAGCTCACTAGCCTCTCTAGTCGACTGGCATGATTGAGTGAGACCTCGGACATTGTCAACTGCCACAGTAGTCTGGGTAATAACCCAAACTGGAAGCACCAGAGCTTCAGTTTCCCTGGGAGTGCAGTGTTGTTAATCCGCTTGAGTTCATTAGCCAAGTTCTGCCTTAGTTGTTCTAGTTGCCACGTATCATTGAGGTCTGCATTATACCACCGCCCCAGGCTCCTTAAGGGCTTCTCTAAGACTGTTGGAATTGGTTCTCCACTGATATAGAATTGCTCGGCTGTCAGTTTTCTTTTTATGATGGAGATGCTGTGAGATTTACTTGGCTTAAACTCCATTCTTGCCCATTCGATTTTTTCTTGGAGCTTCTGTAGCAATCGCCTACATGGTTTTGTTGTTGTAATGATGGTCATGTCATCCATGTAGGCTCTAATGGGCGGAAGACGAAGGCCACACTTGAGTCTCTCACCTCCCACTACCCACCGAGATGCCCGCATGAGGCGAAATTGTGGAGCCTGCCATGACTCCAATTCCCAGGTGCTGCCAGGCTGTGGTGGTTTTCTCAGCTGTCACACAAAACTGTAAATCCTGAAAGTAGGTCTTGACCAGTCCTGTGATGTGGTTTGGTATGCTGAAATAGTTCAAGGCCATCCACAAGATCTCGTGTGGAACTGACCCGAAGGTGTTGGCAAGGTCTAAAAAGACCACATGCATTTCCAAAACAGGCTTCTTAGTGTAGATTTAAGACATGGGAACTGAGTGACTATTTCCCACCACTGGAAATCTTTCAGATATCAAACCGACTTGAACATAAATGGAGGGAAAATAACAAAGACAATCCTGTTGGTGCATCCACCACTGGTGCTTATTGCACACAATGGCACAAAATAGGCAGAAATTTATGATTTATATGTTATTTAAAGTACTACATTCAGCCCTTAAAGCAGGCCAAAATGATCCAAAACAACACTTTTTGGACCAGATGTTTGCAAATTGCATCTAGCAAGCACTACAGAAGAGAAGCGAGCATAAGGGGAGCAGTGTTTTATAAAATCCAGCATTTCTAAAGGCTCAACAAATATCTGGAAACACACAAACCGTTTGTGTGCACTTTGTCACAAAAGTGTGTCTGCTGGCTAAAGGTACAGGTTCCACATTTGAGGGAGGGAAAAAAAGTTAATAACTTCAGAGATAGAGAACGATGTGAGAAAGGCCGGACAGGAGGGGAAGAAGAGGTTATAAACAAACATAATTACTGCTCAGCAACTGTGGTAAATAGGAAATTTAAACCTAACTACAGTGCTCAGCATAAATGAGTACACCCCCTTTAAAAAGCACGTTAATCAGTAGCTCAAAGAACAAAAGAACAATTTCCCAAATTTTCACAACGCTAGGTTTTATTGAACACTTGTTCAACTCCATTTTAACTCCATAATATGAAATTAAGGTTAATAATATAACTTAGATCACAAAATCTTCAGTTTTACTCGACTTGGTTGACGCAAAAATGAATACACCCCGCAACAAAAACTACTACATCTAGTATTTTGTATGATCACCGTGATTTTCAAGGACAGCACCAAGTCTTCTAGGCATGGAATGAACAAGTTTGTGACATATTGCAACATCTATCTTTTCCATTCTTCAACCTCTTTTAGAGCCTGGATGCTGGATGGAGAGTGACGCTCAACTCGTCGCTTCAGAATTCCCCACAGGTGTTCGATTGGGTTCAGATCAGGAGACATACTTAGCCATTCAGTCACCTTCAACCTGTTCTTCCTCAGAAATGCAACAGTAGCTGTAGATGTGTGTTTTGGATCATTGTTGTGTTGGAAAAGTGCACGACGACCAAGTGCACGGAGTGATGGCAGCATCTTCTCCTTCAGTATTGAGCAGTACATTGTTGAGTTCATGACACCATGAATGAAATGCAGCTTCCCAACACCAGCAGCACTCATGCAGCCTCACATAAGGACACTGCCACCACCATGTTTCACTGTAGGCACCATGCATTTGTCGTTGAAATCCTCTCCTTTATGACGCCATACACTTTTGAAACCATTAGTTCCAAAAACAGTGATCTTTGTCTCAATACTTCAGAGTATAGAGTGCCAGTAATCTTGATCTTTTTCAGCATGGGCCCTAGCAAATTCTAGGCGTGCTTTTTTGTGCATGGGATTTAGGAGAGGCTTCCTTCCTTGGCGATACCCATGCATGCCATTCCTCTGCAGTGTGTGCTGTATGGTGTCACAGGAAACGGTCACTCCAGTTTGGCTTTCTACTACTTTAGCAGTGAACTTGCATGGCGAATTTCTTCGACCCTTCTCATCAGAAGACGCTCCTGTCGAGATGTTAACTTCCGTGGACGGCCTGGACATCTCTGTAAGATGGTTGCACTTCCATCTTAAATTTTTGAGTCACCTACAATAATTGGGGTTTACTGATTTTTGCGACATGGGCTTTAATGAATTTGTTAGGAAAATCACTTTTTTGTTTGTGCAAATTCACAAATCTTGTTTGCAGTCAATGGCCCACATTTGTGGGAGTATTTTGTAGTATCTCATAGAAAATGTTGATTCTGAAAGGGAACTAAAAGTTTTCTGACAAATGCTGAGCACTGTATAATAAATGTGGTCAAATTTACAGTAAAGCACAAAATTGAACCCGCACAGAGAAGCTGCGGTGTTTTGGTTTAAAAAAAGAAAGAAAAAAAAGACATCAATTTACATTTGAGCTGATGATGCTTAGATTCACTCACTGAATTCTATCTTTATAAATCAGCCATGTCAGCTTGTGTAACATTAGCTAATGTCTTGTTGAATTCAGTTGTGTGGATCCTCAAAAGGCAGCAGCACAGGCCAGCTGATTGCAGCCTGAACACAAAATCAACTCGAGCTCACAACAGAAATTATTCTGATTATTTCCTCACACTGCACCACTAGAACCAAGCTTAATGTCCCCTCACTTCACTTTAACCCCGGAGTATATCGATTTTTCTGTTTAAGTGTGGATGCAAAGTCACCCATCTACACTGTAGGCAACAACAAATACAGCTGTTGTTTTCCTTGCTTGTGTTCTCCGTCGCAAATGTTCAAGCTGAGTATATCATTACAATTACAATGCGAGTTGAAATAAAGCTTGTATTCCCGTGTTTTAATATTATTTTATTATTAAATTAAAATGTTAAGTGAGAGCACAGTTAGCACCAAAAGATTTGCAGAAAAGCTACTTTATGTTTTTATGTTTTACAAGCAATTTTAATTGTGTGTGAGGTGTCCTTGAGTGTTTAGAAAGTCTTTAAATAAAACGTGTGATTATTATTATTAGTAGTTTTTCCCTTTATTCATTAAGTAAATTTCCAAGTATATACTTTTTTGCATTTCTTTCAGTAAATTAGTTCAAACAGTACTTCAATCTGTACTCCTACAAATTGAAGAGCGTCTGTACTTTTGCCAGCTCTGTTGCACGTTGATGGATAGGTGAGGCTTACAGACCCACTCCTTCGTTATTGTGGATATACAATCATGTCATATGAGGACGTGTGGTGACTGTATATTAAGCTGAGTAATTACAGCAGTTAATCTGGAACTGCAGATTTGAACTTCTGCAGTTCCAGAAATTTTCAAAACCTGTCTGTCTTAATATGAGAGTCACGAGATAGAGGGGTGTTACGTGAAGTTAATCTTTCATTCTTACTCAGTGGGAGTGTCTGACCTGTACTATATAGAGCTGTGTGTGATACAGCAGAGGGGAAAGTGTGAAAGGCATCACAGAAAGCTGCTGAATTTCTTCACTGCCTAAAGGTAAGTGATTAAAAGAAGTGAACTTTTTTGTAAAGTGTTTTATGGTTTAGTTGTTGCTACTAAAATTGGACTTTAGTGTGTCACATTAAAGTTACAAAGTCTGACCTTTTTAGTTCAGAAAGAAAAAAATCTGCAAAGTCATGTTGATTCTGTCTTCCAGATGTTGAGGATCAGTCTGTGTTTGTCATTCGGTGTGTTTCTGTGGGGATTTGCTTCATGCTCTATCATGTGTCATGATGGGAGTACTTGTCCAGACACTGCCACCTGCTGCAAGGCTAAAATTGGCTTTGCCTGCTGCTCATATCCTAATGTAAGTCAGAAACGTTCTGTCAGTGCAGTAACTTGATTGTTGGTTGTTAAAAGTTCTGCTGGTCTTACTTACTTTGCAGGCCATGTGCTGTAGCGACCTGCTCCACTGCTGCCCTTCAGGATATCGCTGTAACCTGGTTACCATGAAATGTGAGAAATTAGACCAGCCGTGGCTGACCATACCCATGGTGAAGAAGGAGGCTGCGGAGCAACCAAACACCCCTGAACTGCCTGGAACTCCACTCCAGGAGCTTAAAGAGAGCCACGTCCCAGATCAAATAAAGACTTCAGTGGTCTACTGTGACAGTTACACCTACTGTCCTGATGGCACTACTTGCTGCAGACACCCACAAGGAGGCTGGACCTGTTGTCCCTACTCTCCTGTGAGTCAGCCTAAACACTCTTGTGCAATAAAATTCCTTTTAGCTTCCACTGCCATGAAACAAGTTTGCAGCTATAATAATTATTCTTTTGAGAGACTAAAAGTGTTTCTTGCAGGGCAAATGTTGTCTGGATGGCTACCACTGCTGTCCAGTTGGATTTGACTGTGACAGCACCTACCAGCACTGTGTGAGGGAAAAACTCACATATCCTTTCCTCCGCAAGCCAGCAGTGCCTTCAGGACCTGCGTCCTTCATCCCAACTTCAGAGGAAGACGACAATTAGAAGAAGGTAAATGCCACACTCTAACCACTTTTACAACCTTCGCATGTGGAGAACATCCTGGGATAATTTCACTCACTGTTCAGATCAAATTTCAAGGCTAAATTTAAGACTTTCTCTGTTTACTGGTGTTATATCAAATGATGGCATGCACATCTGATCACCAACCAGATGCCTGGTAATGAACTAATCATTTGATTCAGGTGTGTTGACCCAGGGTGAGATCTAAAACCTGCAGGACCCCGGCCCTCGAGGCCTGGAGTTCGACACCCCTGACTTAGGGAGAAACTTAGTGAGATGACTATAATATGTTGTTCTAACACAAAGACTTGCACTAATTTCAGGCCCACTGGAGAAAGAGTCACCAGTCATCTCCACAGACCAGCTAAGCAAACTTTTCACTGAGGTCATCATGTGTTGAAAATGCCTAATCCCTATTGTAGAAATAGGGAAATCATTAATGATTTCAAGCTAATCTCAAATCATCTTATCGATTGCTTTTTAAATAATGAAAATGTGTTTTTCATCTATTCCATTCTCCTATACTGCCTATGTGACTGAGTGTCAGTGAATATAGACCAGTATGATGTTACGATGGTGAGGTGAAAATGTTTTGATTTGTTTTATGATTTTTTTCCATTCCTTTGTATACTTTTGTCCAGCTTCACCAATAAAAAAAATCATAGCGTCTTCTTCCCAGCTGTGTCATGCAGTCATTTATTTATCATCTTTTCACGTCACAGTTTGAGTGCCCATGAACACCTCAGCCTGCCCAATACCAGCCCAGCATAATGCATTACTTGAGAAATAAAGTTGAAATTGTATATCAATGTATGTTTGCACGTTCCAGTATTAAAACAAGAATTGCTGTACCTACTTCCTATTTTCCTATGAAAATATGAAGAAATATACACAAACAGACACTAATTATGTTACCATGCATAATGGTGGATTGGAATGGCAATTGAGAACCGGTTCTTGTTCCCAGTAGTCCAACTTCTTGGAATTTTCAGTTTGTTTGCCTATTGATCCAGGTTATTGGTTCCACTTGCACACAGTGTGAAAAAGCCTTTTGCATTTGATGTTTTGTTAAGATCTATGTCTGGATTTTGTTCTTTTGCACCCTCTGGTGGTGAACTGTGTAGGGTACAGTTGGTTGCAGTTGCACTCTTTTGCTAAGGCACATGGTGTCTGCATGCTGCAGCTTGCGGTTAGCTCCACACATGAAGAAAGTAATGTTTAAAGTTAGAAAAAGAGAAGAAATAAATGAGAAAGAAGATGGAGAGTAAGATAATAAGGCCATAAAGGACTATTTAGCCCCTCTTGGATGCCAGCTTATGAGGTTTGTGTATTTTAAATGTTTTATTTTCTGTGATGAAGGACTTTTGATTGACACTAAGTGCAAGAGTGCATTTTGATGTGATGTTTTTATTTTATTGTTTTTGTCTGTGAGCAGTTCTCACAGGTTGTCAAGACCAGAACAAACCCTGTTTTATAACTCTACAGCATGCCTACATCAATCCTTGAGAGTGCTACACACAGCTTTATATAGTACAGGTCAGACACATTTTAGTTTGTGTGCTGGAGGAGGAAAATGGTGGCGCAGTCTACACGGTGGATATGGACATTACTTTTATTTTCATTGCACAAAAGGAGGACTATTGTGAAGTGGAAACTACATCCAGGCCAGAAACAACTACATTATGCTGGAGTTAAAAAGGAAATCATGTAATCAATTTATAGAGAAAGATGTATTATAAACTTTTGTGTCATCAATGTAGCCACATTTGGCAGATATAACCGCTGAAAACACTGGTCACATTCTTTCTACAATAGAAATCAAATGTTCTTCAGAAAGTTCTTCCCATATCTGTTGCAGAAGTTCCCATAAATGTGTGGAACTTGTAGGTTACTTTGTTTTCACTCTTCTGTCCGTTCATCCCAAACCAGCTCGATGGGGTTTAAGTCTGGAGACTGTGCTGAACACTCCATGTTTTCAAGCTTATCATCTTTTATTTTTTCCTGAGGTAGTTCTGGCCTGGCTTGCACTTATGTTTTGTGTCATTATCTTTCTGTAGGATAAACCCCTGACCAACTAGGCGCATACCAGAGGATATTCCATTATGCTGCAGAATGCTGTTGTAGTAGTTTTGGTTCAGCGTACCTCTCACTCTGTACCACCCAAAAAACCCAGACAATTACACTTCCTCCTCCATATTTGATAGTTGATGCCATACACTGTGGAACCATCCTTTCACCTACTCAACAGCATACAAAGATCCTGTGTGATGAACCGAAGATTTCAATTTTTTATTCATCAGTCCATTATACCTTCATCCAGTCTTCAGTAGTCCATTGGCAGTGTTGCATGGCCCAGGCAAGCATCTTTGTGTCACGGCCAGGCGGATCAGCTGCACGCTGATCAGCCCTCTCTGTTTCTCTTCCTCTTCTCTCTCGCCGGGGCGGAACTCACTGTGGGTTCACGCCCTCGGCCCACGCCCTCGGGAGATGAGACACCTGGGTCTCATTAAGGGGAGCAGCATTTAAATCCACTGCAAATGTAATAACCTTCCAAATAAAGCTGAGCTCTGTGTATTGCTGAATTCTAAATTTCAGTGCTAGACTAAAAATAAATCAAATAAATGTATTGTTTTGCTGATACAAAATATCATTTTAACTCTTTTAAATTCCACTGACTGCAATCTGTCTGAGTGTATAACTGAAATCTAACAAAATTGTAAAAATCTATTTGAGTTAATCTGAAATCATACAGATTAACTGTATGATTTCAGATTAACTCAAAAAATGTAAAAATTAAACATAATTTATGGACACCGTTTGATTTCTTTGCATGTAGCTATATTAACATTTATACATTTAATAAATCATGAAATTAATACGCGCATGTTCTCGTAACAATGCAACTAACTGTTTGCTCTTCATTCAGTGAAGTGAGCATCACACGCTGCTCATATAAAACATATTCTGACAAACAGCCGCACAGCTGAGGAGCCTTTTTTTCAGAAACTTGAAGGATAACTTCCCAAAGTCTGACCTGCATCGGACCATCCGCTCAGTGTCCGTGGTTACCATGGTTACTGCAGAAGCTGCTATGAATTAAACAGTTGTCCCTGAGATAACTTACCGGAGACATGAATATTTGTTTTTCCTTTACAAAAGAATTGGATGACTTGGATAACTTATAGGAGTATCAGACTCCACGTGCCATGTCCTCGGAAATCTGGACTCGTGTGGATTTTTCAAGGACAAACTGGTAAGAGTCGCACACCACTATACTGAAATAAAGAAGCTATTACTGAAATACACGTGCTATATTATAAACTATGATATAAAACTTAAGGTTTAGTTATAAAGGACACCTTCCTACCTTTAGTCTTATTCATGAGCAGCATCAGTTGTCTTCTAACATCCAAGAGTCTGCACGATGTGTTTCATAGGTCCTAACTAGAGATGGACGGTCCGATACTGACCTAAATTACTGGATCGAATATCGGAGAGAAATAAAAAATGTAATCCGATCCATTAAATATCAAAAAAGCACCTCACAAAACTTGCGACCTGGCGTAACTCGGCTCATAACCGTAGCACCTCGGAGCATTATGCATCAAGTGATAGAGCGGCTGTGGCGTGCGGGACCTGTCACGGTCTGGTTGAGCATTTGGAGCCTCGCCACCAAACCGGCATTTCATCTCCAAGAAAGTGATCCCAGAGAGAAGTAAAGCAAGTGTGTAAGTTCATCTCTGAATGTTTGTAAAGCATTCCAGCGTTAAGCTTATCAACCGATATATGGAGCGACTGCCTCTTCTCTCCCCCTCCCTCTCCTGCTGCTACTTAAATCATGAAACTGATTAATGATCAGCTGATCGGCTTTTCTGTCGCGAGTCCGTCTCTCTTGTTTGTTCCTGCCAGAAAGAGGAAACAAGCGGCTGAACAACAGCAGCATGTTTAAGCTTGATAATCTGTTGTTAGAATTTATTTAACATTACTTTCTAAACCAGGATCTTTTTCTATGTAGCTGACGGCTGGTAACTGTGCAGGGGCGGATCTAGCAAAGTTTAGCCAGGGGGCCGATAGGGCATGAACAGGGAAAAGGGGGGCACAAATATATACTTTTCTTTCTTATTCTCTTTTAAAATGTCTGGCTTTTAATAAATAATTATCTGAATCTTACACCCAAAATTTTAATCTGATGTAAAAAGTATAGAAGACCATTACTGTATATAGTAACTGTTAAGTCTAATATACCCTTGTAAGCTATAGTACTTTTTCCTTTGGGAAGGTACCACCTGTGCATTCTGCAATTCTGTTGAAGAAAGATGTTGAATCTATTTAAATATTGTAGAAAAATAATTGATTTCTGTGCATTTTTTTCACACTGCATCAAATTAAAGTTGATTACGTCGATTAAGCATCATGAGGTGGGGGGTGGTTCCCTTTTTTTATTTATTTTTTGCTGGGAGTTTGTAACCCTATTAGTTAGGTTGCTTATTCTTTTAAATACCAGAATAGGGAGGATGGAGTAGGTTTAAGTTTATTAGATTCATCAGTTTTGCTGAACTATGAAATATTTTCGGTGCAGTGTATTTTTTGCATACAGGTATAACAAAATAGCATTAGTGTTTTTTTTAAACTTGAGTTTGGACCCATACAAAATGCAGCAAGATATTAAAAAAACAGTTTTATTGATTATAAAACACACTATATTGGATTCATATCGGTATCTGCCGATATCCAAATTTATAATATCAGTATCGGACATAAAAAAGTGGTATTGTGCCATCTCTAGTCCTAACATGAGGATCCCAGAACCAAAAAATAACCCAAAGGGTTAAAAAGATTTCCACATTGATGCAGATGATGTATATGATTGTGGGACTTGTATAAAAAAAATGTATATGCCATATTTGTCTGTGAAGGTTCTCAGTCATCCAGGTCATCGTAGTCAAAGGAGCTTGCAAAGAAAAGCGTCTGGACTTCTTTAAGCTGCTTGAAGACATTTCACCTCTCATCCTAGAAGCTTCTTCAGTTCTAAGGTCAAATGGCGGAAAGTCCCAGATTTAAACCCAGTGGGAGTATCCCCCCAAAGAGGGACAAAAGGACCCCCCGATGATCCTCTAATCATGGTGTGAAAATGGGTGTGGGTCCCAATCAGCCAGGGTTTCAGGTGAGCTCATTGTGAAACCTGGCACCACCTTATCATGCAATTTCCTGAGGTCAGATGGCCCAGGAAGTGAGTGGGCGTTAAGGCGTCTGGGGGAGGGAACTCAAAACTGGATTATAGATGGCAGACAGTTGGTGTCGTAAACCACCCTCTGTTCAAAGACGTTCGCTCACAGTGAACGTAAATGGCTTCTTTCACTCCTCTTTCAAACCATCTGTCCTCTCTGTCCAAAATGTGAACATTGGCATCCCAT